CTTCTTCATGAACATCTTGTTTGACAGCAATCTGGCTGTATTCAAAGTGATCGTGTTGTGAGAAGAAACTCTTGACTTGGGGAGTCTTGAAATGAACTTGGCTCATGTACCATGCTACATCTTGTAGATCGAGAATGAGATGAGTACTGATGGCTGTCTTCAAAACCTTTTTTCTCATGCCAATACGTGCACAGGACAAATAAGCCTTATCTGGAGTAAGTTCAAATTGAAATCCAAGGTTTCTCATCTGTGGAAGTGACATCAACAATGGGACATCACCTTCTTCGACAATGTCGAATTCTGTGAACTGAGTGTTCCATCCATGATCATACATGAATATCACGAGCTTCTCAGTGCATTTGGATTGTTGGGAATTTGCAAAGAAGAATCTTGAACTTGTTGGCTGAACCTCATACCAGAGTCCACTGTTGGGATGTGAGTCAACCTATCTGCAAAATGCTTCAACTGCTCGTCGAGAGCCCATAGCTCTTGTGCATCCAAGATCCAGGATACATACAGTTGGTGGTGCAGAATTCTCTGTGTGAAAAGCTAGTCCTTTCTCACATGCCAGATCAGTCTGTACAGTATGAAATGAAAAAGCACTCTGCTGCTCATCTGATTCCTTTGTCTCTGCAAAGCATTCAGAATGAGATGGTACCTCTATCTCTGTAGAGCATCCATATGAAAACAATGATGTGCTTTTTGCCAACGGCTTCCATGAAGCCTCACCTTCTTGTAGGCCAACTTGCCTGGGCACACGAGCTGGACGTCGTTGTACACCTTGTCGGAGTGCATCAAGATCTCCAACCAGAACAGGGAACTTCTTGAGTCCTTCTCTGTTTTGCTGTGCTGTTGCATCACGTTGGTTCTGTCCTCCACGACGAGTGCGTCGATGTACTTCTTGTTCTGCATACGTGGATGCCAAAGCATCAACACGTGCTGGTTCAGTCTTTGCAAAAACAAAGAAACCATGACCAGAGCTTGATGCAGTAGAAGAATAATGAGCTTGTTGTTGGTGTTGATTCTGTATGGCAGGAGTTGATGTGGTCTGAGGTTGAACATAGTTTGACTTGCCTTTTACATCTCCTGGCTTTCCTCCTTTTCCATCATCATCCTTGCCTTTCTTGCCTTTCTTTCCTTTTCCTTTTCCTTTCTTCTGGAAGCATCCATACTCATCCATGTAGTACAGATCATCATAGGCCCAATAGCCTTCATTCCAGTTTTGATCATCGGCCCAATAGCCTTCATAGGATTCATTCCATTCTTCTCCTTCTTGCCAATCTTCTTCATAACCTTCTTCACTCACCATGTGAGAGCGGCCTTTCCTTTCCTTGATCTGAAGAACCTTCGTCCTCCTCTGCCTTTTCCTTTTCCTTTTCTCTTTCCTTTACCCTTGCCTCGTCTGGTCTGTCTGCCTTGGAACCTTCTCTGATACCATGTGTAGTCAGCGTCATCATAAACCCAGAAAACATCTTCTAAAGCATCCAGGAATCCTTCTGCGCCGTCTTCATCATCTTCGGCCCAATAGCCGTCGGTTCCTTCTAGTTCACCTTCTTCCAGTGCGAGGAAAGATCTTCTCTGTGCCATGCCAGAGGGTTGCATCATTGGATTGTCAACTGCTGTTTTGGTAGCGCAAAACATTTCCAAAAACAGATCACGTAGTGCTTGCATGTTGTACTGATCGAGGGTTCGTCCACGATGTGTCATGATACTTGTGAGTGTGTTTCTCTGATCCTGAGTCAGGTCTGCTAGACTTACAAAAATCAATGCTAGCAAATTTTCACCCAATGGGAATGCCTGTCTTTGTAATTGTCTACATTGTTCCTTTTACTGTCTGACTGCCACCAATGCCAGTTCATCCGACCAGGGAATGACTACATGAGGAGCTGCACCTGGTGTTGCTGCTGCCAACTCAGCCTTCTCTGTTTGATCTCGTTCATGTTCTTGTCTCTTCTGTTGAACAAATTGGATTGCTTCAAAATTTGTCACCGACGGTTCTGGAAGCAAATCCATCCAAAACTCAATAAGTCTATTTCCAGTCAGTTGAGATCTAGTCATCCACTTCTGAAGATCCATGGTTCCTCTGTTGAACTTCATGAACTGCATGAAACGGTATAAGAACACGTTCTGGGCACCCTTGATGAAATGGGGTCGTAGAAATCTTTTGAAATAGTTCACTCCTTCATTGGGATCCCTGAGCATATCTCTGTCCAATAACCTCTTGTATTGTTGAGCATCTCCTTCCAGTCGATTGCGCAAGGCTGGTCCACGTTTCTCAGGTTCTAACTCCGTGATGTCACACCAGTCATCGATTGCATCTTCAAAAGCAAAGAAACCGGTTCTCCCATCATATGCTGGAGCTACCTTCGTGGTCATTTGTTGCGTCATGTGAATCTGTGTTTGCTGGGGAGCTCTTCTCATTGCGTAAGAGTCATATTGGTTCCATCCATCTGCATCGACAATGTCGAAGTCATCATCATCATAACCATGGCGTGCCATTGCTGGGCTCTACCTGGAGCTCACCTTCAATGAAGGATCACTGCTCCGCTACCACTTGAAGAGGGGCCCTAGCGTCTACTTCAAGATCAGCTAAGGCGTCTTCCCAAGACAGCTCACACTTTTACTCTCGGCGTATTGCCAGTCAGCGCGGTGTCCACAGGGTTACTCTATATACCTCTTGAGCCTTGAGGGCGCATATAGATGTGCTCAATACTCATGCATGTACCTCTGTAGGTATTAGATCAAAAGAAAAACAAGGGCGCAGCGCCTCCCCCCAAAGCAGATTGGAAACACCTATTTTCACATGCAAGGTGCTGGGTTGAACGTGATACTCAAGGTGTATATGCTACACAACATGCACCCTGGAAACATGTGAAATGTAGGTTAAGGCACAACGATGCACAATAGTTTCATTGGTGTACTGTATATTCTGGCTTGGTTCAGGGTTGGCTTGGGGGTTGAACGTCATCTCGATGATAAGGCAAAACCTTTTAGACAGATAGAAAGATAGATATAGATATTATATAGATATAGATATAGATATAGAGATAGATATAGAAATAGAAGGATATAGATATAGATATACATATAGATATACATGTAGATATAGATATAGACATAGACGTAGACGCAGATATAGATGTAGATATAGATTTAGATATAGATAGATATGAATAGATACAGATAGATATAGACATAGATATAAAGGCGATCAGGCTCCATTCCTTCCTTCCTTCCTTCCTTCCTTCCTTCCACCAGAAAACGGGAAAACATCCCAAAAAAAACGGGAAAAAATCCCCCCAAAAATAGCCCTCCTTACCTTTATGATGCGCACCGTATCAGGACGGGATTTTTGCAACAGAGCAGACCAAATTCCAGCAATCCCACGTGTCTAACTTTTGGAACCACTATGCGCTTCCATTTTGGGAACACTATGCGCTCCCCCTTCCCCCGTACCACCACTTGACCCCCCTCCCCTCATGTGCGGGGCGGTGTAAATAACGTTCCAACACTCTTAGGGGTTAGCCCCAATGCAACACTACATTTTCTAGCCTCTCTCCCCTGTGTTTAAGCCCATATACTTCATCTTATTTCAAACGATGTCATGGGGGGTATCCAGAAAATGTTCCAAGCCCATATGCCTATACCGCAAGGGGATATCAAATTTATTGACCCCCCATCTTTGTATATATATATATATAGTATATTAGGGATATGTAATATGTAGGGTAGATGTTGGAATTAGATTATTGTACTTTACATTTTTGGCGTGCCAGGGGTCCCGCTAAGGGGGTAGTGATGAAACCAAACAAAGAAGTGGGCCGTCTTATGAATCGAGTTGAAAAAGGAGAAGGACGAACCAAAGGTGGGAGGTGAGAAAAGAATGTAGAATGGAACCCAAATGAGCGTATGAATGAGGATGCATGTGGAGAGAACGGCAGGCAAACCGGAAAGCCTGCCTCACCCTGCGCAAGCAACAAACATGCCATTCACAGCATTTCACACATACACCATACGCCAGATGAAGGCCAACGCAAGGTAACTCACGCACAAGTGATCTCTGATTTCAATCATGTAGCAAGGAAACCCTGTCGGAACTCACTAAAGCTTTGCGCTTTCAACAGAACCTCTAAGCAAGTGGAGCGGCGTGCCCGGTGCATCCTGGCGCGCTGTAAGTAAGAAGAGCTGGCGTAAAGCAGTCGTCTGGAAGAATTTCCAAGGCAACACCACTAAGTTGCCTGGACAATACTGAGGACATTACTGCCGCATATATTCCGGCCCAATTGACATTGCATTTTCCAAGAGCGCCTGGGGGGTGTGTAACAAGCCACGGAGACATTCGCACGCCGATATACTTAAAGAACGCGTAAATAAGGCCGAATATTGGCATGACATGGCGTTCTTTGTTCCACTTCCTTGCAAAAAAAATCATCTTTAAGGGATCGTTGAGCCAAACTTGCAAGCTTGCCCCGGAATCACTTCCATCAACGCCCCCAAATGTAGCAACTCACGGAATCTCACACGCACACCAAGAAAACAGGGCGCTGCAGCATTCAAATACAATTGGCCAGTGTCCCTAACTAACCACAATGGCCACCCAAGCAACCTAACCACTATCAATCAGACCCCACAAGGACAAACAGCATAACCGATGCATGTCACATCAAGTAAATGCGACCGAAGTACTGTAAAGACGGTTTAAACGTGGTGAAGTTTCCGGATACAATGTAATATAATTTAATGTAATGCAACTGGTTCCCAGATCTCTCAAAGCCAATCTGTGGGAAACAGCTGGAACCAAGATGCTCTACTCAACTCTATAATGCGCCGGAGCAAGGCACTCACCAGGGTTGAAATTGTTGGGAAACACAGTAGAAATCTACAACGCCCCTGGCAGCAATGCGTTTATACTGAAGTACACAGAAATCAGGTAGCCTCAGCTACCTTTCGTGGCAAACCGTCAAACCATGATGCAACGCATGCTATGCCAAGCTCCGCTCTCGTACTTTCTTTTCAGTAGTGGGCTCTTTGCTACTTTGACCTGAAAGGGATGAGACTGATGCCAACAAATACATTCTGATAATCATTGTGGAACTTAAGGGCCTGATTCGGCAAACAAAGAACTTGAAGCATCTTGGCAATTATTGAAAAATATCAAGAGGGCTTCTTTGAAACCCAAATCCGTTCAGCCACTCTTGTACTGAGCTTAAGAACACCTCTGTAAGCCGGTCCGGTGTACAAAGCTTTTCCCTTCGCCAAAGCTCGGACTGCCTGGGAAATCTGTGAGAAGTGGAAATGGTGAACTTGGCGAATTTACACGCGGAAAAAACACATATTTATATTTTCTGAGTCCAGAGGCGGATAGTGCTTGTTTGGTGAAAAAATGAACGGCTTCCACCATCTTCCCGTGTCCTGCGCCATGATTTTGAGGAAAGGCGCCTCAGCTACAGTATCAGAAACCCACAAGACTTTGTACAGGGACTGCTTGGAGCCAGGCCTGGTTCGTAATGGAGTTTGGGCTCCGTGAAGTTGCATGAAATGGCTCATTCAGAGCTTTGTAGAGGGGGAGAGGCTCCTGCGAGTTGCAGCCATTGGCGTTCCCACCTTCCATCACTCCGACTTCCCATTTTTTATTTTATCTTTCCGTCGTTGGGTTCCTAAGTCGGTATTTTCTTGCATTTTTTTCAACATGTTTCACGTCCTTTTTGAAGAAATTGCACATGCAAAGTGTTTTTCCCAACGCCTCTGCGGTGTAAAGTCGGACGGCTAAGCGATGCTGCATAGACAAAGTGCTGGGTTTCAAAGCCTGACACGGATGATAATAACTTCAAGTTCCCAAAGGCGGCGGTCAGGGGTCACCTGCAGCAGAAAAAAACCGATCACTTGCGGCAGTAAAAACATGTAAGCACATATAAACACATGTAAAAACATGTAAAAACATGTAAAAACTATATCAGGGGAGCCTGGAGGTTGGGGAGGGTAAGTTATGTTTCTGGAGGAAAAGAATTTTACGCTGATAGTAAGAGGAAGGTTGACATGGTAAGCTATGTTGCTGGAGGTACAAAAATTGATAAAAATTGTACGGCCCCCCTCCCTTACAAGACAATACAGCGCTAGCAACCGGAAGGTTGACATGGTAAGTTTTGTTAATTGAATATTGAACTTTTACCGCGCCCCCCTCCCCGACAAGACAATACGCTGATAGTAAAAAGAAGGATGACATGGTAAGTTATGTTACTTGGGGTTTAAAATTCTACGATGACCCCTCCCGAACTCCGCAACAAGACAATACGCTGACAGTGCAAGTAGAGCCCGGGCAAGCCGGGTGACGGAAGTTTTGAGGGGGGGCGAAGCCTACAAAGAAAAGGGAGAGCCTATAGGAACGACGCCTGGCCGCCTGGCTGGCACGGCCGTTGGCTGCGTCAGCTTTTGAGACCTTTTCTGCTTTGACATTTCTTTCTCTCGACATCCTTGTCTGATGCTGCCACTTTCTCTTGATCCGGCTTGCTCCTGACGTCTATGAATCTCGACAGCCTTTCTTGTTGTTGGCTGTTTGTCTGGAAGTCTTTTTCTCCCTGACATGTCTTCTCTCCTCCCGACTTCCTCTTCTGATGACGCTGCTTTCTCTTGATCCGGATTGCGCTTGTCATCCGTGAATCTCTCTCTCTCTCTATCTTCACATCCCTACTCTCTCACATCCCGACTCTCTCACATCTCTACTTTCTTCGCATCTCTACTCTCTCCACATCACTACTCTCCACCTCTCTACTGTATTGACATACCTACTCTCTCCACATCTCTGCCCTCTTTACATCTCTACCCTCTTCACATCCCTACTCTCCGCTCCTCCCTTCACATCTTTACTCTCTTCACATCTCTACTCTCTCCACATCTCTACTCTCCACTTCTCTACTCTCTCCACATCTCTATTCTCCACGTCTCTGCTGTCTTGACATATCTACTCTCTCCACATCCCCTCTTCACATCCATACTCTCCTCTACTCTCTTCACATCTTACTCTCTTCACACCCCGACTCTCTCACACTCCACATCTCTACTCTCTCCACATCTCTACTCTCTACTCTCCACCTCTCTGCTGTCTTGACATCTCTGCTGTCTTGACATCTCTACTCTCCACATCTCTACCCTCCATCGCTCTGCTGTCTTGACATATCTACACTCTCCACATCTGGAAAATTCCTAAAACGCAGCTTAGGCTTCTAAACTTCCTTTGAAAAGGAGGATCAGGATGACATGATAAGTTATGTTAACTGAGGTTCAAAATTTTACGGCCCGCCGCTCCCCTAAAAGACAATACGCTGATAGTGAAGGGAAAGTTGACATGGTAAATTGTATTACTTTATGTTTAAATTATTGCGGCCCCTGAAATGCTGCTCCTGCCACGCAAAAATGAGCACCACCTGTGGCAGTAAAGAAAAACCACCTGTCGGCACACAGTACCGCCACAAGCGATCTACGAGCCTTAAGTACACCACCATACTCCGCAAATGCATAAAAACACATCATGCATTGTGATGCCACAAAGCCATCCCAGTCTTTCAATAAGGATATGGCCAAGAGTCCAGTTGTAAAGCTATGTTTGTAAAAAAAAAACTCTTTACACGCAACATCACAAGGAACGGCATTACGTATGTGTTGCTTACCAGTAGTACCGCACAAGGCGGTGGCGGAAGTTTCAAAAATAGGAAACCTATACGAGAGGTTGGTTGTTGTGAATCAGGGATGGCAGAGCGAAGCCACTGATGGACTGAAAGGTGCTTGATCTCTCTCTCTCTCTCTTTTTTCTCTTTCGACTCTTTTTCTTTCTGTTTATCTATCTTTCTCTGATTATCTACCTACCTACCTACTGATCTATCTGTCTATCTATCTATTTATCTCTCTGTCTACCTATCTCCCTATGTATTTATCTAGCTGCCTAGTTTTCTAGCTATTTGTCTATCTATCTATCCATCGATCTATCTATCGATCTATCTATCGATCTATCTGTCTATCTATCTATCTATCTGTCTATCTATCTATCTATCTATCTCTATCTCTCTCTCTCTCGCTATCTCTCTGTCTGTCTGTCTATCTATCTACCTATCTACCTACCTCCCTATCTACCTATCTACCTATCTACCTATCTACCTATCTACCTATCTACCTATCTACCTATCTACCTATCTATCTATCTATCTATCTGCAGGATCAAAAACGAAGAAATTCTGCGAGACTTTCGTAATGTTTGAACATAAGAACGTCCAAAACGGACAATTCTGCGAGACGTCTTCATTTTTTGAACTTGACAACATCCGAAACGAAGCAATTCTGCGAGACTTCCTCATTTTTCGAAGTGCAAGCCATCAAAAACGAAGAATTTTGAGTGCAGAGCTGACAGACTCGTGCCAATGCGTTTTGCGATTTTTCCACTCCACCTGTGTAAAGTACTGCGCCTGCCACGAAAAATTGATGCCAGGTCATACGACGTGCCGCACCTGTCACGCAAAATCATCTCAGCAAACCTGAAGATCTGATGCTCCAAAATGCAACCCCTCTCAGGAAATCAGCGCCCTGACCTCCTAACATCTCTGATGAACATGTCTTTTGTACTGCGCCTGCCATGCGAAATGCATCTTTGAAGATCCTCTTCAAATGTCCCACGCCTGCCAGCGTTTTTGGAAATGCCACAAAACCCTCACGTTTTGCTCACTTTTGCCAAGGTGCACAATCCCTTGCGCCTGCCACGCGAAAGCACATCTGAACGTCCAAAAGTGCTCCGTACCCGTCAGTTTTTTACACTTTTGACTTGGAAATATGCTTCGCGCCACAACGGCGTGCACTTTTTCGACATCTGAACTTCCAAAAGTGGTCCGAGAATGGTGTGTTTTGTGCATTTTGACTTCGAAATGTGCTTCGCGCCACAACGGCATGCACTTTTTCGACATCTCAACTTCCAAAAGAGGTCCGAGAATGGTGTGTTTTGTACATTTTGACTTGGAAATGTGCTTCGCGCCACAACGGCGTGCACTTTTTCGACATCTCAACTTCCAAAAGTGGAATGGATGGAATGGATGGAATGGATGGAATGGGGACCGGATGGACCGGATGGACCGGATGGACCGGATGGACCGATGGCCGGATGGCCGGATGGGTGGATGGATGGATGGAAGGAAGGATGGATGGATGGAAGAACCGGATGGACCGGATGCAGTGGATGGACAGGATGGACGGGATGGACCGGATGATGGATGGATGGACGGATGGATGCATGGATGCATGCTTGCATGGATGGATGGATGGACCGGATGGACGGATGGATGGATGGATGGATGGACGGACGGACGGATGGGATGGATGGGATGAATGGATCGGATGGACCAGATGGATCAGATGGGTGGATGGATGGACCGGATGGCCCGGATGGCCCGATGGACCAGATGGACCAGGTGGACAGGATGATGGATGGATGGATGGATGGATAGATGGATGGACGGAGGGAGGGAGGGAGGGATGGACTGATGGACTGATGGACTTGGATGGATGGACTGGATGGATGGACTGGACGGAGGGACGAAGGGACGGACGGACGGACGGATGGATGGATGGATGGATGGACCGGATGGATGGATGGATGGATGGGTGGATGGGTGGGTGGGTGGATGGATGGATGGATGGACCGGACGGACCGGATGGATGGATGGATGGATGGATGGTTGGATGGATGGATTGATGGATGGGATGGATGGAAGGAAGGAAGGAAGGATGGCTGGATGGATGGATGGATGGATGGACGGGATGGACCGGATGCCCGGATGGATCGATGGCCGGATGGCCGGATGTATATGTATGGATGGATGGATGGATGGGTGGGTGGGTGGATGGATGGATGGAAGGAAGGATGGACCGGATGGGACTGGATGGACCGGATGGACCGGACGGACTGGACGGACTGGACGGACGGACGGACCGACGGATGTGTAACAATACAAGTGTACTATAGCAGATACAACTCATAGTGTTCATGGTCAACAATGCTCAGCACAATGTGTGCTGTATCCGTAGGCCTTGAGCCTCAGACAATTGCCAGAGGAAAACAATACAGCGGTCGTGCACAAGAGCAGGACAATTGGACAAGAGGACAAACGTGAGACAACGGTGACACAATCCAACATCCACAAGCACAGTGCCGGTGAAACTTTACATGGTAGCGGAGCGAGGATCCTGGCAACGACAATCCAGGTGAGCTCCAATACCACAACACTCAACAAACAAACACACACACAACAGCAACAGAAGGAGACAAGCCTTGACCCCACAAGAGGTAGCTTGTGACAACTGCGGCAACAATGGCAGTAGCAGCACCGGCAGGAGGAGCATTACCTCCAGTACCAGAAGACAATCTGGCCAACATGAACAGATACAAACTCAAGCCCCCCTTCTACAATGGAGACTGCAGCACGTCTGAAGAATGGAAATGCAAGTTCACAGCATACATGGGACTACAAGACAATGACTACACAGCACTGCTACAGGCAGCAGAAGCAGCCAGTGCAGAACTTACAGAGGCACAACTGCGAGGAGCGGCAACGACAATAGAGGATGGCGAGAGACACGTCAGACTCAGCACAGACCTACGATACATTCTCATTAACACAACATCTGGACCAGCAGCCACACTATGCAGACAATTTCAACACACAATTGGGTTCGAAATGTACAGACAACTGTGCATTCGATTCTCGATTCCCCTTGGTAAAAGGTCAATAGGACAATTGACAAGACTACTCAAACCCAAGTTCGACAACA